AGTCCATTTCAGCTCACTAATGCCGAGGATATCAATCTTTATGCGTTCCATTTCATTTTTGACAACTTCCAATTTTCCTAGATTCATACTTTGTACATTCTGTGTTCCGATGATTAATGGATATCTACAGTTGTTTCTCTTCAATTTGAGTGGTGCCACATCAGCAAATGGCATTCTCGAAAGCTTTACCTTATCCATAAGTGTAAGTCTGGGTTTACTCAGATGATGCAGCTCTTTCCTATCCTATTTTGAGAGCCTTCTAACCTAACCAGACTATTCATAAAGTTTCGCGGTAATGTATCAAACAGTGTTTCTTTGCTATTCATAAGGTTTTCCCTGGCCAATTATTTGAGAAGTGGACGGCCTCTCCCTTCTTCCTAGTCTGTCTCAGTCTGTACACTGGGATGATACCTGTGCACCATGTGAATCCCACTAGGTTAGAAACACCAGTGGTTCAGCCTCAAATCTCACATCAACACATCACCACAGTAGGACAAACCGACAGACAAGTTTGCCTCCCTGTTGGAAACCTCTTGTACCACCCTTACCATAAATGGATGTATCTATTTCTGGATTCTTAATTCTCCCGGGTCTATGTGTCTGTTGTTATACCAAAGCCTGACTATTTTGACTGCTGTGGCTATCTCATTTTGAGATAGGGGAGTGTGAGACCTCTTTTGCTTCCTTCAGTGTTGCAGTGCTTATCCTTTCTCCCTTTTTTTTTCATATAAAATTAGTGTTTGGTTTTCCCATGTCCGTAAAAAACCTTGATGAAATTTGGACTGGGATTGCATTGAATCTATAGTTTGCTGTGGGTAGTACTGACATTTTCACAGCATTCAGTTTTACTGTGCATGAGCATGGCATATTCTTCCATTTATGTAGGTCTTATAGTTTCTTGTAGTAGAATTTTGTAATTGTCTTTGTGTCCCTGGTAATATTTGTTCCTAAGTATTTTATCTTTTTGGCAGCCATTAAAAATGGTATTGTTTTCCATTTTAAAGATAACTTTTTTTACTGATGTAGAGGAATCCAACAGATTTTTGCATTTTTATCTTCTATCTTGCCACTATGCTGAGTCTCTCATTTAGTTGTAGTAATTTCCTTGCTTAATCTTTTGGATTTTCTGTGTACAGAATTTTGTCATCTGAAAATAGAGATAGTTTTATTTCTTTTTTGCCAATTTGGATGTCTTTTGTTTCTCTATCTTGCTTTATTGTCCTTCCAGGACTTCCAATACAATGTTGAATGGAAGTTGTGATAGAAGTCATCCTTGTCAGGCTCCTGTGTGCAAGGAGAATGCTTTGAGTGTCTCTCCATTGAGAATGATGTTGGTTCTTCATTTTGCATGTTGTTGTTATTGCTGTTATTAGGTGCCATTGAGTTGTCTCTGAATGATAGCAACTCTGTGCACAGCAGAACGAAACACCACCTGGTCCCACACCAGCTCCATAGTTCCTGCTATACTTGAGCCCATCACCACAGCCACTGTATCAATCCATCTCATTCAGGGCCTTCTTGTCATTCATCAACCCTCCACCTTACCAAGCATGACATCCTTCTCCAGGGAATGATCCCTTCTGATAACATGACCAAAGTAGGTAAGACAAAGTCTGACCATTCTCACTTCCAAGGAGCATTCTGGCTGTACTTCCTCTAGGACAGATTTGTTAGTTCTTTTAGCTTGGTTTCACATATATCCCCTTATTTATGTTGAGAAATATCCATTCTATCATTCTATTCCTGTTTCCTGAAGTTTTTTTTTTTTTTAACACAATAAAGAACATTTATTATTTCTCATTTTCTGTGGGTCAAGAATTAGGATGGGCTTAACAGCGAGCCCACAGCTCCCGTGAGAACATAAAGATGACCCCTCCTTGGCTTTCTGAGGCAGTAACTCTATGGAAGTAGACTGCCCAATCTTCCTTCTCAGAAGTAGCCGGTGGCTTTGAGCCTCCAGGCTTCTGGTTAGCAGTCAAATGCCTTGCACACTACTCCACTAGAGTTCCCAATTTCAAGGACATCCATCCCAGTGATTTTAGAATTGGAAATTTACTTCTGTATGCTTGCTGAAGATTCATGTGAGAATATGTAAAACCATAGAATTCTGAGGACGTCATCATTGTAGTAAGTGAAAGTCTAGTTAAACAAATACTAATCACAGAAATATACATGCATCGAAGAATGTTTAATATAGGTATATTTTACAATAATTATATGGGCATATAGATGATACTTTTTTATCTCCATTTGTAAAATTCTTCCTTGGAAGGATGATTAATATTTTATTTGGACATATTTTGTAGTATATAGACACTTTTCATTACAAGCAAGATATTTTCTTTTCCTGTTTAAAACTAGAAATATGGATTGATACCAAAAATTTTTCAGTTTTATAACACTAACAATGAAATCTATTTATAGACCAATTTCTCTTAAACAGTTTTTTCATTGCTTCTTTTACATCCGTGTTCCTCAAGCTGTAGATGATGGGATTCAACATGGGAATCACAACGGTGTAAAATACAGACACTATCATGTCATCATCCAAAGCATAGCTAGCAGTTGGTCTCACATACGTGAAGAGGATTGTTCCATGGTAAATTGACACCCCAGTTAAGTGAGAGCCACAAGTGGAAAACACTTTTTTCCTCCCTTCAGCAGAATGTATCCTCAGAATGGCCAACAAAATGAAACCATAGGAGATCAGGACAATCAGGATAGTGAATATCTCCAAAGAACCTACAACGCAGAAGAGTAGAAGCTCATTGACATGAGTGTCAGAACAGGAGATTGCAAGGATTGGAGGGATATCACAAAAGAAATGTCTAATTTCATTGGATGCACAGAAGGAGAGGTGAAAAGTTGCTACAGTATGTAAAGTAGCATTTAATATACCAACAACGTAAGAAGCAGTGATGAGTGGCACATAGACTCTGGATGACATGTTAACTGAATACAGAAGTGGGTTGTAGATTGCTACATAGCGATCATACGCCATGGCTGCCAAGAGGAAGCATTCTGTGCTCCCAAAAGTGACAAAGAGCCACATCTGTGTAGCACACCCAAGGAATGAAATGCCTTTATTCTCTGCTAGGAAATTGACCAACATTTTTGGGGTGACAACTGAAGAAAAGCAAGCATCTACAGAAGATAATGCACTCAGAAAATAGTACATAGGGTTGTGTAGTCTGGAATCTACCCTGACTAATAAAACTAGTCCCAAATTTCCTACCAGAGTAAAAATATACACTGTAAGAAATATTAAAAAGAGATACACTTGAAGCTCAAAATCATCCGTGAAGCCAAGCAATGTAAACATTGTGACTTCAGTGATATTGCTCGGCTGAATCTTGTATGGATCTGGTTGTGGTGACAGTAATGACATTTCAATTGATATTTATAGGTCCTAAATGCAATTGGAGTCTCTGAGTGGTGCAAATGGCTACTATACTTGCTGCCAACTGAAAGGTTAGTGGTGCAATTCTACCAGGAGGCAATTCAAAAGGAAACTCTGATTATCTATTACCAAAAACCAGATGAGATCACTTTGAGTTGGAATCTAACTGGTGATAAATGGTAAATGCAATATCCTGTGAAACAGCACATCCAATTTCATCTTCAAGAAAGGTATAATAATATACTGGGCAGTAATGGGAGAGGTGGTGTCAAATTAGTCCAACACATGTGGCCATCATTTCCTGTGTAAATAAAAGAAAAAAATGCAGCCATTCACTCATTCATTGGTTAGACTTTTCATGTTAAAATAAAAAATAAATAAATAAAATAAGCAAAAAACCTGCCAATGTGTGTTATTCTTAAATTATGATATTTAAACATTTACAAAGAGTAATGAATAGAGAAATTTTCACTTCCAAAAACATTATGAATGAAAGCACACACTAGTCATCTTAAATAAGCTACAGTATAAATGAATGCCTTTCCTTAACATTCACATGCATAAAATGAGAGTAACATCATGTCTTTCACAAGATTGGACCAAATTCATTTAAAATGGTTTAATTTTGAAATGTCCTCAGACTGCTAGAAAACAGATGAAGTTAGATTTACCTTTCAAATTGTCTTAGAAGGCATCTACACCTATTCCTCAATTATCTACTAACTCACTCTTTGATCTTACACATTTGCAGCAATAGTGAAAAATCTATTATCCAACTATTTTGTGCAATAACTTCTTACGTCTGGTAGTAACAAATACTGAGGAGTGAGGCAAGAGTAAAGCTGCTTGTGATGGTTAAGATGATTTGTCAATTTTGCTGGGCCATGATTCTCAGTGTTTTGACAGTTATATGATGATATCATTTGCCAGGAAGGTAGTTAGGTCATCCTCCTCCATTTCAATCGGATGTGGTCATCTTCTGTTTTCACTTTTTGCCAATTTTCGCATAAAGACCCAATCTTAGGAAATTAATCATTTTGATAAGTAAGGAGGGTATGCATTTCTGTGTGAATTCATAAAGAGTATATATAATTCTTCAGAAAACATACAAAAATATTTTGTGAGTTTCAATTGTGTTTGAAATCTTTGGAAGATTATTAGTGAAATATTTAATAATGCCATGAAATAATTAATGAATATATATCCATATATTCTTTTGGCAACACAGCAAATACGTTTCAGTTTTAAAAACCTTCCATTCTCTTTTCTTTTCTCTACTTCACACTTTTTTGTCAGTTTTTCTTTCATGAATCCATGGAACACAAACAACAATATTTAATGAAGAGAGTCTGACAAAATAGAAATTAGGTGGGCTGAAAGAAGCACAGTGAAAGAATATAAAAATATGTAAGAAGATTTTGGAAACAAAAAATTGCCAAAAGGTAGTCTGCTAAAGAAATTCATTACAAATTTCATTGTAGAATATACTTTGATTAACATAAATAGGAGCATGTCAGCTACACTATGATTCCAAACATCATTTCCCTGATGTGATGTGTCTGAGAAAAGACAGCAATGGTGGAAAATTAAGAACATTATACTTGGACTCAAGCAACTTCTATTAAAATCTCAGAAATAACATCTAGTGCAAAAGGGAGCTTGAAAAAGTAAAGTCCCCTTCTCTTCCCAAAGATTAAGTAATATTGACCAAATATTTTAGACATGATTTGTTCAAGTATATGAACATGTTATTCATGCAGAATGCTCCTTAATGAAATATATTAACACATTTATTAAATTACTGATTATATCTGAAAAGCAGATACTACTTAAAGAAGATTTCCACATTATTTGACAACAAAATCGTTTTAAAATCTATTTCTTCATCAAAGCATTGAGCAATGAATGAACCCCAAGCCAGAAGCTAAAATATTTTTCTTTTAGTTTTACAAATTTTTTGTATGACCCTAAACATATATTAAAATACCATTTTACTGAATTTCATTCCAATATTCCTAATATTCTATGATTTGAGGGTCATTATAATACATACCTGTCACTGCATTCTGCCTCTGGACCTGTCATTAAAATAGTAGTTTGCTTTGCTTGCTCCTTATAGGCTTGGTGATGTACATTTCAGGCACCCTGGACAGTCTGATCTTGTCTGTAGAGCAAGAACATAATTTATGAAGGAAGGCAGGTTTTATACCAAAGCTTTCTCAAATACGCAAATCTGTTAACTAATCTTTAAGGAAATTAGATTTATTTATTTATTTTTTAATAACAGAGCCTGTGGGTGGTGTAAACAGTTAAGAGACTCAGCTGCTAAATGAAAGTTGGCAGTTGGATTCCACTCAGAGGCACCTCAGAAGAAAAGTCTAGTGATAAACTTCTGAAAAATCAGTGACCGAAAGTCCTATGGAACACGGTTCTACTCTGACACACCTTGGATTACCATGAGTCAGAGTCAACTTAATGGCAAATGGCTGGTTGTGTTTATGACTAGATGATTTCATCTTAAGAGACTATAGAGGCTAAAAAACACAGCATATCATGGGTGAACTTGGAGGACATTATGCTGAGAGAAATACATCAATCACAGAAGGACAAATATTGTATTAGTCCGTTATAAAAAGTCAAGAAAAGGTTTATATACGGAAGGAAATTTTCTTTGTTGGCTACTAGGTGTGGGAGGGGAGGAGAGGGAACACTGTTAGATAGGTAGAGACAAGTATTGATTTGGGTGAAAGGAAGGACAATGTACCAAATGTAAGTAATCAACAAGGTGGCACTGAGGAAGAGGAAGACTAGAGAGGTACATGGGATGTACAGACAACAAAGATGAGCCCTGTTGCACATACGGTACTGCATTGCCCGTGAAGGCAAACATGGGTATATGGAAGGATAGATGGGTAGATAGGCTGAACTATTAAGTATGTCTATGTAGGGGGAAGTGTGCCCAAGATCATGTATAGGGTTGGCAGACAATGTTTCTACAAATGTATTTGTATGTCCTGTAAGAATTCCCAGATAGATGATGTCCAGCTACCACTGCCAATCACTCAGAAGGGGATCTATGTAGGAGATCCTGGATAGAGTGGGAGAATAATGTGGAACACACCTCAAAATCATTTGGAAAAAAAAGGGGGGTGGGACCAGGTTTGTTGGACTGATAGAGGCTGATGGGACCAATGAGGCCATGGCCTCTAGCTGCCCTTAGGTTTGGAATTGAACCCACTCCTGTAGCTTCCAGCCAAACAAAAGACAGACATATGAGGTGAACATTTGCATTTGGTAGATACACTCCTTGGAGACATTAATCATGAGACAATAGAAGGGCTGTGTATGCACAGGGAGACAGCTCAGGGGGCAGGAGTGCATGGGAGGGAAGGACACAGGGAAGAAGTTAACTATGGGGAGGACGAGGGAGGGAGCTGTTGCTTTGTGGGAAATTGTAATCAATGTCATGAGAAAAAGTGTGTGAACTTCTGTATGGAAAGTGAGTTTTCTCTGTAACTTTCACCCTAATCACAATTAAAAAATGAAAGAAAGAAAGAAAAGAAAAGAATTCATAGGTATATAGTAGAGCTGACAAAGGATAAGGTTGTAGTCACTTCTTGGCCACAGGCAGCTACCCAGAGGGAGTGAGTAGTTGGACCTGTGGGCTCAGTACCATAGTTGCAGGGGACATCAAGCTAAATTGGCATAACATACTACACAAAACATTGTTCCACATCCTACTTTGGCAAATAGCAACTGGGATCTTAAAAGCTTGCAAGTACCCATCTAGATGCAACGATGGGTCCCTCTTCATCCAAAGCAAAGACGAATGAAGAAAACCAAAGCTGCATGGAAACAGTCAGTCCAAGCAATTGTTATACCTCGCAATCTTTAGCCTACTCGACTATGAGACCAAAAGAATTAGATGGTGCCCAGCTGCCACAGTCAACCACTCAGAGGGGCATCTATGTAGGAGATCCTGGATAGAGTGGGAGAACAATGT